GGGGTTTGGGTCTAGTGTTTAGGGCATCAGGCTTTGGGGTGTAGGATTTAGGATTTAGGCTTCGGGTTTGGGTTTAGGGTTTAGGGCATTAGGGGCTTCAGGATTTAGGGCTTCAGGGTTTAGGGCTTTCGGGTTTAGCTTGAGGGCCAAGCTGGCCCAGGTATACGAGCCTAAACCCTGAGCCTTTTACCCTAAACCCCAAGCCCTAAACCCTAAACCCTAGCATGTCAGCAAAGCCGCACACAACAACCACTTGTTAGAAAAACCCGGAAATCCCGGCGCCCTCCTCAACCGACAAAAAGCGGAGGCGGTTTTACGGCTTTGCAACACAGCAGGGGGTTTTATATGTAAAATCGGGCCATGGGGGGGTATATGGCATATTAGAGTATGATTACGGTATTAAGGACGCGTGGAGAATAGTCTCACTTCCTATGATATCTCCCTAGACCGATGACCGCAAATAAGCGATAGCTGACCCTGTACCCTTACAACCTACCCTGAACCCTAAACCCTAAACCCTCAACCCTAAACCCTAAACCCTAAACCCTAAACCCTAAACCCAACGCTAAACTCTCAAACTGTACTGTACTTCCTAAACCCAAGCAATGAACTCAAGGCTAAAACTCCTAAAGAACCATTCCTTAGAAAGCCCGGATATTGGAGCCCTTTTAAAAGCACTACTTCCTAAACCCCTAAACCCCTAAACTCTGAACCCACAACCCTAAACCCCTAAACTCTGAACCCTAAACCCCCAAAACCCCTAAACCCCTAAACTCTGAACCCTAAACCCCCTAAACCCCTAAACACTAAACCCTAAACCCCCTAAACCCCTAAACCCTTAAACCCTAAACCCTAAGGACCGCTCCTGGAGCACCAACTCCTCAGCATGCACGTGCGCCATTGCCTCGGCCAGCTGCAGAAGAAGCTGGACCTCAGAAGGGTTTTTGGGGTTTAGGGCTTTAGGGGTTTAGAGGTTTAGGGTTGAGAGTTTTGGGGTTGGGTTTAGGGTTTTGGAGTTCAGGATTTAGGGTTTTGGGGTTTAGGGTTTAGGGTTTAAGGTTTAGGATTTAGGATTTAGGATTTTGGGGTTTAGGGATTAGGGAAAGAGACGCCCACCATTGACAACGAATTTGCACTTGTTGGGCTAGTAA